GTCAAGGTAGGTAACAACCACTGCTCTCCCCTCAATTCCAGTAATTCCAGGACAGTTCCAGTAATGACAGTACTTCCCTTCTCTTCTTGCTACAAGAGTTTAAGCCACCCTATGGAAATATGGTGAGGGCCAAGCACTAGGACATGCTCCCTTTTCACAAAAACATCTTTTCAGCACCTGGTGTGAAAGCCCCAAGCTGAGACATCTCAAATGCACATACTGTCATTGGTAGCACACACGCCATCTATCACTGACTTGTAGCTTAATTCTAAAGCAAGTAGCTCCAGTACAGCAGAAGCTGTTGGCAGACAAGAGGACAGCACACATGTATTTTTGAAGTTCTGACAATCAGAGCTTTAGGCATGAACACCTCTTTTCTCTTTCAACAATCAAGCTTTCCCTGCCTCCCTCAAGATGTTGTATTTTAAAGACTATTCTGCCCCATGTTAACAAAATCTCACAGCTTTTTATCTGTGCCCAAATTTAATATCACTTCTTTCATCCTTGAAGAGTTTCAAGAGCTAACTTAAACAGCAACCAATACAGAGAAAGTCAGATAGCCATTAGGAAATTAAAGCTATCCCATCTCTACAAATGTTGTACATGCAATTTCCACCCCACGCCCCAAGTTCCCCTGGACATAACTTGTACATGGTTAAGTGTACCATCCCCACACAAACAGGTACACCAGACTGTTACAAAATTGGCATTTAATAAACTTCATTGCCAGTATCCAGCTTCCCCATCATGAACTTAACCCATTTGTAAAAGCTGAGTATATTCACCTGACAGGCATGGAAAGGTTACTCTTAAAATAGGTTTTGCTTAAAACATCTGTACCAACACACAATAAAGCCAACTGCATATATATGTGGTGGGAAGGCAAACCTTTAATTTCCAAATAAAAGCAGTCTTGAAAGATTAAGCATCATACCTCCACACTCTTCTATAAGATTGGCTATGGTTTCTGCTTCATCTTCAGCCATTTTTAATATATTACTTAGTCCATCCAGAACCACTTGCACAACTTGTGCATCTTTTACTGTCAGCAAATTGCAAAAGGGAGGAATTACATTTTGTTGAATTAAGTATGCCACCTAAGGGGAGAAAAGCAAATAAGTAAATCAGGAATGGGACAGAAGCAAACAGTGCACCATAAGCACATGTGCAAACAAGTTTAACAAAGCCAAATACTCAGTTACCCAAGAAGAGTACTCCACAGCAGTCATTTTCAGAAATTCTTGTTTTAAGACATTAAAATATAACATTCATGTATAAGGTTATAAATATATTTCAAGTCTAGAACACCCCAAGTAGTAGATACTGTGATTTTTTTCAGCATTAGACAAGTTTCCAAACTTATCTTTGAAAAATGACACCACCACCCCAACCCTGCCACAAGTCTAATATTCTCAACTTGGAAAAAAAATAGTATGTTTATACTCAATGGCTATTATTTCTGTAATCAACACATGCTTATCCATAGTGGAAAAATAAAACAGATTAGATATGCCAAATGACCTTAGAGCAGCCTTCCAGCACCTAAAGGGGACAAGAGGAAAGCTGGAAAGGGACTTTTTACAAGGGTATATAGGGGTAGGACAAGGGGTAATGTCTTTAAACTGATAGAGCAGATTTACATTAGATATTAGGAAGTTCCTTCCTGTGAGGGTGATGAGGCACTGGCACAGGTTGCCCAGAGAAGCTCTGGCTGCCCCATCCCTGGCAGTGTTCAAGGCCAGGTTGGATGGGGCTTGGAGCAAGCTGCTCTAGTGGAAGGTGTCCCTGCCCATGGCAGAGAGGTTGGAACTTGATGATCGTTAAGGTGCCTTCCAACCCAAATCATTCCATGATTCTATGAAGAATCTCATCAGAGCCCAAATGCAGTCATTCATAGCTCCTAGGCCATCCTAACAGAAGAGCTTCCATCCAAATCCCCATAGATGCTCCTAATCTTGGGTCATTCCAGTATTGACAACTAAAGTTCACTCTTAAACCTCTTGTGGAAAAGGGAAGAGGGTTACTGAACAGTGGACGAATACAGAGAGCCACAATCCTGGCACAGAAGTAGTCTAAAACCAATCAGTTCATGTACTCTCTCAAATGCACCCAGTAAAGATGATGGACCTTTTCTTAAGGTTTTACTTACTTGGTCTTTTCTTCCACTAATTGTTAAGTTGCTTATTGCCCATGCAGCTTCTTTCTGAGTACCAAAGTCACCCTAAAAATGCAACCATGAATAATCATTCAGTTTTTAGTTATGCAGCATTCTACTAAAAGCTACCATTCGTTACAGTTCTTTCTGCATGAGTAAGGAAGGAAAGTAACTAACAAATCCTGTAGATATTTGAGTCTACTCAGTGTTCATCCCTTCCCTGCAACCATGTTTTTACTTTAATCTTGCAGAGGAAGGAAAATATGTTTGCATCAAAAAAAAACCCCAACAAACAAAACAACCCTGCAGTATTCCCTCTCTCACATTCCTTAACAGCTGTCACATATTACAGTGAGAGATAAGCAGCAAGTGTGTCAATTCTGATAAGCCACTGGACATACTGTAACAGTGTCAGCCTCTGAAGTCACTCGAGTCTGCTTACTAAATTTCAAGAGAAAGGCCTCCAACTGTTTTTCTCAGTGATCAATGAATTAGCAGTTAATAGAACTATCTGCGAACAGCTGTATGTTACTTAGGAGAAAAGTATTCCTTCAGTCTCAACCCCAGCTTCTACACTGAAGCAAGATATTTCATCTCTGCCGTGGCTGAACATATCGTATAGTTTTGTATTTGTTTTCCCTCCTCACGTCAAGAAAGAAAATTGAAAGTAAGGAATAAAGCAAAAAGTAGGAAGTGTTTAAAAGATAAAAATGTTGCACTGTTCCCATTTGAAAACATGCCTTTAGCTACCCTCATTTCTCACAAGGCAGATTACTGGGATCACAAAGTGGCTTGGAAACTACTGTTTTAAGAGACACTAACACCCAACACCTGAATAGGAATACAGGTCACTGAAGTCCCAAATGATGTGACCCCTTAGCATTCAATCTCTCATATTCAACAAGCAATGAGAGGCTTGGAAACGCATAAGAAAAGCATTCAGAAGTGTTTGCGAGTGTCGTGGTTTCCCCCAAGAAGGGGAAAAATGAGTGCTACTGCTGAACCCAGGACAGCGAGTGACTACTTGACTTTAACAGAAAATGAAATAGAAGCAGTCATCTCAACAAGCTTTATCTATTACACAAAAGCAGCATACATCCATACACTTATACAGAGCATGGCTTTTCTGTGGGAAAAACTGAGCACACAAAAGCTACAATTAATTTCTATGGCCACCTGTTTTTTGGTGATATAGTTTTACTTGTTTAAAAAAAATGGATGGGATAAGCCCAGTCCATAATCTTGTGTCAGATCTTGATTTGGAATACTCAGACTAGATAAATGCAGTTAACACTAAGTTATTAAATACTGCTGTTGAGCACTTTCTTATGTTTCCAGATACTATGGGGGAAAAAAAAAGAAGTCTTCAAGCTTTAGCAAAATGCTGGGAACTAACTGAGTGCTGTTATCCAGAACTCTTCACGTCACAAACGGGAGTAAAGATTTTATCCCCATTGTTTACAGAACCAGAAAAATAATTTAAATGAGACTTAGAAGGACCCAAGATCCCCTGATCTTCTCCCTTTCCCCAATACATCTGGCACTCATCATCTCACACAGCACTTCACAAAAGAGTATCAGCAGTAACGTATTTTATCTTGCAACATACGAAAATTGCTCAAGTATATAGTCCACCCCTACCCACCACATTTACAGCACAATGTAAAAAAACATGAAGGAATCCAATGCCACTTTCCCCAATTAAGGAAACAAACTGTTAAAACCTTCATGTTATCTAACCTTATCTAGAAGATGTATTATCATTGGAACAAGGTTTGCATCTATCACTGCCTGAACTTGCTGCTGATTTCCTGCAGTGATGTTAGACAGGAACCACACTGCTTCCTGAAAAATAAAAATGTGAGAGATTATTAATTCAGATAGTCTTCCATACCTCCTTTTATTTCTACTCTGGCATGACTTTATATATGCATTTTCAGTTCTGCAATTCATGCAATAGCCAATCTTAAACACAAACAAGTTCTGTACTTGGTTTGATTGTACACAGCTGAACTAGTAAAAAGACTAGGCATACAGGCAACAAACACCTTAGGAGACTCCACAAGACCCTTCAGTCTTTCACTGTCACCAAGTTACAACCAAGTACTCCAAATCCACAGATTAAAGGAAAAATTATCCAAAGACAAAAGAAGTCACATGGCTACAAGTGAGCATAACTGATTCCATGACTCAGAATGAATGCTCTAGCAGTTTTCAGCTGACAGATAAGCTTCAAAATGCACCAGAGCATTATGTTTTCCAGATGTGAGAGCAGTAGAAGACAATGCGTTCTTTACCTGCTGCATAATGTTTCTCTTCATAGCATCAAGTCAAAACACAACACTTATTACTTAAATGCTTGCTTTTCAAAAATACTGTAGAGTTCTATGATCCTTTATGACCCCTCCTCTCTGTTCATAAGCCCAGGACTCTCCCCTTCCAGAAGTAAACAACAGCAGATGCTACGAAAGTGTGTACAGAAGATACCTTTGCCCCAGTGGGCCCTCCCAGTCCTCAACAGTTGAAATTTTGAACTAATCCAAAGACTGTACCTGGATTCTTACATCAAACAAGAAAAAGAGTCCCCAGCTCCCATTTTAACAGGGAATTTATACGTTAGTCAAGAAATAACAAACACAGTTTCATGTACAGTTTTAAGTATATTCAAAGTATCAACAACTTCTTTCAATCTTACAGTTGATGAATTTCTCCCTTCCCAGAAACCCTCCATCAATCCTACTCAATTCTTCTCTTCTCTCAACTTGCCTGGCATGACAACTTTTTAGACAAGTATTTCTCTCGACAAGAGATTCAGAAATTCTCACATTTCATTCAACTGCATCTCTCAGATCAGATCACAGGATCACTTTCATTAATGAACCTGTTAGAGACTTAGGATGCCTAGGCTTGTCCTGGTAGGCTTGTTTTGGGCTTTAATCATTGGCAATGTTGTGAATTGGCACCCCAAAACTTAACAACATGCCTCAGATGCACTCCGGAATCTGCACAGCAATATCAGTGCCCCCATTTAAAGCCTTTTCTATACATGCATGCACACACATACTCCCCACACCCCACCCCCAGCCTCACTTGGATTAAATTCCATTTGTCACACACACTCTCCATTCAAACAGACATCCGATTATCTCTATTTCATCACTTCCAAGAGAGTCAGCTCAATTAGTGACATTTCACTTATCAAGAACTTTTATGTCAACAGCTGAAACTGTAAGACAAAGCTTGGATTTCATAAAAATTCAGTTAGAAGAATCAAGAAACAACATTCTTGTCAAGCACAAGTCTACAGCTCCTTAGAGATTTTTCTATGGGTGTTAACTTTAAGAAAAATTTCAGCACCCTGCCTGGTATAAGCAGACAATTACTTAAATCTCTATCACACTACATTATGTGGAATCCAAGACAGCCAGGCCAAATACAGTTAGCTGCAGGGTGAAATTTCTACAGTTACTTACCTTATTAATTTTTTCTTTGGGATGTGTCAGAAGTGCTGGAAAATGTGAAAGAGCTTCACAATTCAGAACTACCTGTGTCTGTTCATCGGTACCAGTGACAATGTTTCCTACAGCTCTCAGCGCAGCAGTCTGAAAAATAATGCTTTCTTTAAAAAGAGTTCTTTTAATCAAAGATTTTTCGAGTTGAGCACATACTTCTAAACAGTAACGCTTAAAAAAAAAAGTTTTATACAAATTTTATTTCACACAGGAAAAAGTACTTCTTAAACTTCAACATGAACTATAAAAAGAAACCAGCTACCTCCTCTAGCATTAGATTTTGAGCAACACTTCCTTAAAGTTATTCAAACGTACCTGCACTTTGACTTCTTGATGACTGAGAAGAGGAACCAAATGAAGGACTATACCGGAGTCAATCACCATTTGGATCTGTTCATTGCCAGCATCCGTTAGATATGAGAGTGCCCAGACTGTATCTACCAATATCTAACAGTAAAAAATTATTTGTAAGTAGTGCTGAAAGTCTAATAAGAAAATAATGTGCATGAAAATGTAAAACAACTCTCATTGTGAAGCCAGAATTGATGTTATACAGCAAAACCCCACCTTGTTTTATAAACTTCATACATTCCACTCTACAGAAATCAAAAATGCAACTGCTCTTCAACCTATTCCAGCCCCAAAGAATACACAGAGGTAAAAGAAACAACAGCTAAGCAACAGCTAAACTGCTAACTGCAGCTTAAATTCTGAAGGATATAATGAAAGCAATTCAATTATATCTGCTCTTTTTATGAAATACTGGTAGACACCATGAGATACGAAAGACACCTCTGGAAGGAAGATAAAGCCCTAGCAAATATTAAACTATGAGCATGCAGCACTCTCAAACCAAATGAGAGTGCCAAACAAACTGCACATCTTACAGCATCGAGTTAATTTCTTCTTCCACCCCAAAACTTAAGGCTTTGAATAGCAGAAATTACAATGAATTTCCTCTGAGCACACATGTGTATTCACACACAGAAAAGCCAATTTCCCTAGCAGTAAATCTGAACACTTCAAGTGACAGCTTACACAAAAACTGAGCGTTATTTCAGCTGACAACTCGACTGAGTCACAAACACAGCCATTTCAAGAAATTCAAGTAAGATTAACCTCACCTACTTGTATACAATAAATAGTATAATTACTAGCCAAACTTTAATTAATGTATTTAAACTTACTTTGGTAAAGCACTTTTGCCATTAACTTTGACAACTGAGCTACAACTTCACTAGGAAGCAAGCAATCTTCAACAATTCTGGCTTATATTTAGGCAGAACACTGACCTATTTCATAATTTCAGTAGAGCTTGACTCATTTACTTCACTATTAAAATAACCAATGTTCATATTTAACAACTGTGAAGTTACATCTAAAGCTAATGTTTTATATATGCAGCAGACACTAATTTTTCTTTCATTTACACTGATTTTCATTACATCAAACTTAAGTGCTTGGCAAAAAAAAACCAACCCTGTATTTATCTGTAAACGAACTGTTCACAGGAATACAACCGAAACTGCATTTAATTTTTAAGTGCAGGGAAAGTACATGCAAATTAGCACTTGCAAAGACACAGAGAAATACCAGGCAAAAATCATAATGATACTTAAAAATAAGCAGTTAAAAGATACCCAAATAAGTTTGCTATAATGTCAGAGATCATCACTGATTATTCCTTTTTTTTTTTTTTTTTAGGAAAACAGTTATTATGGCAAGCTTTATACTTCAGTTAGAAAAATTACATGAGAGCACAAAACTCTAAGTGGCATTACTTACATTTACATCTGTGTGGTGAATTAAAACACAGAGCGCTGGAAGGATCTAAGGAGGGAAAGAAGCATCTGACAGTTATTTTTAAGGCAGACAATTACTCCAGTTTAGTTACATTGAACAGTGAGTAATTCAGTCACCTCCTGAATAGTTTCCATTGGCGGAGGAGGATCTTTGTGGCGGCATAAGTTGACCATGACCCAGGTAACATTTCTTAAGAAAGTTATAGGAATAGATGGGCTGATGAAGGACAGCAGTGGTTTCACTACTCCAAGACTAATAACGTAATCTCTACACTGGGGTCCATCACCTGTTTGAGACATCAAAGAACTATGAATACAAAGCTCATCCCATGCCATTCTCAAAAAGTCTGATTTCTGCATACTTCAGTTACGTAACACATACAAAGTTAAAGAATATGGGCCCTGGAAAGATATAAATGCAGACACACACATGTCTATAAAGATACCTCTATGATAAAGACACTTGCATAAAGCTTAAGTAGGATCTGTGGCTGCCTGCCCAATTACTTCATTCTGAACTACTCTAAACGAGGTAAATTAATTTATAACAGGCTGAAACAGTGGTAGGCAAGGGAAAAGGGGTGGCAGTCCTGATTATAAACCCTGTGTTCTTCCCAACATTAAAACATCCTAAGAGCTAGCTGAAAATTGCCTGAAAATGGATACTGGCTTCCTCATATCTGAATATGCTTTTGTCACTGTCCAGGTATCACTACAGTTGCCTTGAAACTGACTTGTACTGAATGTGTTACCACTAACAGCTTCAGGCAGCTACACTACTGTGGATTTTGCTGGTTTGCTTAAGGACTAGGCATTTCTAAAAATACAAAACTGTAGAAGTCTCAGCATGTCAGAACCAGTATTAGTCCTCTGGCACTGCAAGCACAGTCAGGGCTGTAAACCACAAAGCTAATACTTGCGGGAGAGGAGGAAAAATCAAGTGAAAAATCAAATGATCACAACTAATCTAGAATTTAAACACAATGTTTGTACACTCAGGCAAAATTTTAGAACTTGATACACAACAGAGAAAACTGCAATAAGCAGGTAATTGCCACTCTAACAGCTGCCTTTTTTCTCATAGTTGAGCATCTAAGCTCTAACACACAAAATCCTACCTAGTTTAGTCTTAGTTCACCAAAAGGAACTTTTTTTAGTGGGAGGAGTCACACAAACCTATGATATTTCCTAAAGCCCACACAGCTTGTTCACAAACATTTTGATGCGGTGAATGGAGCAGTCTCAGAAAAAGTGGCACAGCATCTGAAAGACACAAAACCAAACCCCATGCAATTGTTAAGAAATACACCTCTCTTAAAAGACAAAAGAGTTAACATAATTAGCTCTTCAAAGAAATATTTTCCTTCCTATTAAGTACCCAAGATTTCTCAGATGATACTGAAATAAACCACACAACAGTTCCTCTTTTAGTGCTGTCTTAGAGAGTCCACACTTCAAAATATTATGAAAGCATCTCTTAAAATAACCTGACATTTGTTTACAAGCCTCAAGTTTACTGAAGCTTGTCAGGACTCAAAATTTAGTTATATTTATTAATTACTGAATTCAGAAATTCCATGCTTCGTTATCGATCAGAAACAACTGCAAAGTAGTAACCATTTAAGACCAACCTCACCCATTCAAATTGATAGAGTCAGTAGGTCTACATCTACGTTATTGACTGGTAAGGCGTAAGAGGACAGGGGTTTAAATTTGTTTCAATATCTCCAGTTTACAGTACCTGATATCCCTACATCGCATGTTTACTAGGAGTAAAGTACATGCCAGTTGCTAGTCTCAGCATATGCAGAAACTGAACCACTGAGGGATCAGCTGTATACACTTGTCAGCACAGCGCTCCAGGCAGTGCCTCACCAATCAACATCACCTGCAGTTCTACCAAAAGGAAGCTTGGTTGATGGAGCACACACAAACAGACACATGATAAACTGCCTGAGAAGCAGTCCTACTGCCCACAAGAATGCACTAAGTGCCATGTCAGTGTGTGCTTCTCCCTAGTATTTCCAATTCTGCATTCACTATCTTTTGATAACCATTATGAAGGTATGTGTAAAGCAACAGCAGGTGTTCCCACGGATCTAGTCATCTTAGCCTCCTGAATGTCAATACAGATGCATTCCTCAATGTGAAGTTTACTTTTATATCACTGAGTTCTGACTCTACTCAATCAAAAATTTATTATCCAAGAGATTTCAAATACTTAGATATTTCAAATTAGTATTTCAAATTAGTAGTAGTTTCAAATACTACTATGTGACAAAAAAACCCACAAACCACCAAACATGGGACAACTGACTGAGCAGTACAAAAAGGATTCAAAATACAACACACAATTCTGCAGTTGTTACCAAGGCAGCTACTTTTCTACCCTATGCTGGTGTCAGACAGAACGCTCCCAATATCGAGAACTAAAGCTAACCAATGTTTCGAACATATTCTACATGCAACACATTTAGATAACTGATCCTTATTTTTTTCAGCCCCAGCACTAAGGTGCTTGCTTACATGACTTGGTAACAACAGCTTAGGCTGCAAGAAGCATTCCTTCACTTTGTATCACATATTTCAAGAGGCTGGTATTTTTAGTTAGTCTGCTGTAATCTCTTGTTATTTCTCTAGCAAAAATGATTTACATTGAGGATGAGTCTCTCTCTTCTACTGAAATATATCATCAAAAGAAATAAACCATACTTTCATGTTATAGCTATTAAATTAGCTAATACAGTGCATAAATGAAGACCTAGCTAAATCAGAGATCATCACCAAAATAAACCATTACTACATTTGGCACTCATCTTCAATCCATTTATAAAAGCTAGGCTTAAACAGA